AGTTGCACCAACTCAAATCAATGACGATTAACATAAGCTTTTATAACATTCTATTAAATAATATTTTAATATTTTAATTGATTTTTCTGAACTTTAAAATCTTAAAAGATTTTTTTTAGACAGTACCATAATTAATATAAAATCTTCCCATCTCTATAAATCTCCCATTTTCTTGTAATTTGTTTTTTTACTTATATCAGCAAAAAGTTTTGATATATTTGCCGATAAAGTTTTTAATTTTCTAAAGTCCTAACATAGATTGGGTCTTTGCAAAATCCTTCCATTCTAGCCGTATATTTAGGGGGTGTATAGGATTAGGATTTTGAAAGACTTTTTTGAGATAAAAAATCTTATAGATTTTAAAAGACTATTTAGAAATGGACAGACTTTAAAGACTTTTTTAAAAGATATTTTTTACAATCAAGATTTCATAAGATTAAATTTTAAAAGATTTTAATAGAATTTATAAGATTTGAAAGGACAATATGGATTTATAAGATTTTAAAAAATTATATGAATTTTTAACAAACATTCAAAATTACAAGAGTCAATAAAAAAATAACAAAGAAATGCAATGATATTAATAAAAAAAAGTAAAACCTAATATAATTTTCTCAATCAATAAACATAATATAATTTTTAACAAACATTCAAAATTACTTAGTAATAACTCTTCACATGATATCTAAAATTATACTAATCCTCTATGCATTATCCATTTTCTCGTTCATGCTCTTGGGTTTGACCAATGAGTTAAAAATTATCTTATTCATTTGGTATCAGAGCTATGCATATATAATTATAAGACATAATTTTTATTTATTTATTAAAATAATTTTAACTTTACATATAGAACCTAAAGTTCATGATAAAATTTCGTTTGGAATTGTTTGCAATTGATCTTGAAAATCTTGGGTTTTTGTTCTATGTGATGAAAGTTTTCTAACCATATATCATATGCATGTTTTCATTGAATATTCTAAGAAAATTTTGAATATGAATTTCTGGGTTTTATTACATGAAAATTTAAAAAAAAAATTCAAATTATTTTCAATCGATACATTAAAACCTTAAATTGTTTTGCTGCTTTAGAAAAATAAGTTTTTAGTTATCTATTGATACAAAAATTGTTTGAAATCATTTCCTAAAGGAATTTCATTCATGAATGCATTGTTATGAAATGTAGAGTTTATATTAGGGTTGGCAAAACGGGCCAACCCGGCTCGACCCGGCCCAACCCGCATTCAGCCCGAAAAAAATGGGTCGGGTCGGGTTGGCTCGAAAAAAAAAACGAGCCAGAAAATCCAACCCGGCTCGACCCGAGCCGGGTTAGGGTTGGCTCGCGGGTTGGCTCGATAATCAGCTCGCGGGTTGGCTCGTAAAAAAGCTCACGGGTTGGCTCAAAAAAAGCTCGCGAGTTAGCTCGAAATGATGCTAGTGGGTTGGCTCGCGGGTTGGTTAGCTCAAAATATTGGCTAGCGGGTTGGCTCAAAAAATTTAATTTTTGTGGTTTGTTTTCCTGTATAAAATTATTGTATTTTGCAGTCCAACTACAAGTAGAGTAGTTTACAAAATCCAAAAACATTAAATGAAACACAAACCACTCCACGAATCACAAGAGTCATTTATCATGATTTTTTGAATTACTCTAACTCACGATAACCATAAAACGTATGTAAAGCCAAAAAATAAAAAATAAAAGAAGTCCATCAGTGGAGAATCCATCAGTAAAGTCCATTGTAAAAAAAAAAAAAAAAAAAGAGTAACCCGCGAGCTGGCTCGTTCAACCCGCGAGCTGGCTCGTTTGAGCTCGGGTTGGCTCGGGTCGGGCTAAATCGAGCTGGCAGCTCATTTTTGCCAACCCAACCCGGCTCGTTTTGTGCGGGTTACGAGCCAACCCGACGGGTTGGCTCATTTTTGCCATCCCTAGTTTATATTATGAAAGTTTCAATCTTTCTTTAAATTAATCTTGTTTTATTGATGTAAAACGAAAAATGATTTGAGGATTTTATGTTATTTTTAATACAAAAATCATACCTTTTACTTAGTAATAACTCTTCACATATCTAAAATTATACTAATCCTCTCATACATATAAAGATAGACTCCTTAAAATTTAAAAGTAAAATAATAATTACAACCTTATACCTTAAAAAAAATTATCATCCATTTTAAATTTTATAAAAACATAAAATTCAATGTAAGTGTCAATAAATACGATCTTAATTTCTTCCTCGGTTACTTTTGCAATATTCGTTTCTTAATCAAATCAAGGGTTGAAATCTAAAGGGTGGTGGAAGATTTTGGAATTGATATAAAATCAATTTCTTTCTTATCAACCCATTTATATCAAATTATTTGTGATTTATAAGAGTAACGTTAAAGAAAACGTGTCAATCTTAGAAACGTGAAAAACGAATTTCTAAATTTAAAAGGAAAGAAATAATTTTATAAACAGACATAATAAAAAATGAAATTAATAATGTACCAAAAATAAAAATAATTTTATTTTTCGATTAATGAAAATAAACTATTTTAGAAGGAAAATCTGATTTTTTTTTATTAATTCAAATCGGAAGATATTAGATTAAATATTGACAAAGTAAATAGGAATTTTTACTTTTATTTTTGGTACATGATTAAATTCCTGTTTTCCTCACCAAAAAAAAAAAAATTCCTGTTTTCGTATGATTAAAAACAATGAATTCATATTTACAAAAAACAATGAATTCAAAGAATAATGAAATCATTTTTGATTTAGAGTAACATTAATGAAAATAAATCAATCTTAAAAAGGAAAAACCATTAAATAAATTAAATTCAAAGGGAAAGAATAAATCTATAAAAAGACATAATAAAAAATGAAGAACATATAATCTAACAAGAAGATAACGTATCAACACTATTTAATAATTTTAGTTGCACCAACTCAAATGAATCACGATTAACGTAAGCTTTTATAACATTCCATTAAACAATATTTTAATATTTTAATTGATTTTACTGAACTTTAAAAATTTAAAAGATTTTTCAGACAGTGCAATAATTAATATAAAACCCTCTGATCTTTATAGAGAAAAGTTATATTTACAAATTTTTTGTTTACAAATCTTACAAACTACATTAAGTATGACCGATCTTTCTTCAATCAAGAGTGTATGACCGATCATACTTAGTGTAATTTGTTAAAAATATTTGTAAATATATCATTCTCCATCTTTATAAACCTCCCATTTTCTTGTAATTTGTTTTTTTACTTATATCAGCAAAAAAGTTTTGATTTATTTGCCGATAAAGTTTTTAATTTTCTAAAGTCCTAACATAGATTGGGTCTTTGCAAAATCCTTCCATTGTAGTCATATATTTAGTTTTGATATCTTTCATTCTGAATTTATTTCTCATTTAACTATATGGGCAAACATTTTCTTATGTTGCAGCTGATACATATCTTCTGTCATAGAGACATTTGCATGGTGGGACCATCACCATTAAAAATAAAGAAATAAATAAAAACTTAAAAAAAAAAAATTAGTATGGGAACAGGAGATGACTTCTCTCCAGTGAAATGAGAAAATCATCTCCCTAACTAGATAGGCTTCTATGCTATATATCTCATGATATGATGTAGGATATTCTTACTACTAATTATTTTTACCACCACTCCAATACCACTCTAATCATTGTTCATTGTTGGATTCAAAAGGTGGTTTTTTTTTTTGGTAAGCAAAAGGTGGTTTTTCTTTTCTCTCGTTTCATTCATCTTTTTCTTTAATCCAATAATAATAAGAGTAGTAGTAGAAAAAACTGATAGTAAGAGTATCCTATCTTATGTCTCATACAAAGATAAACTCCTTAAAATTTACAAGTAAAATAATAATCACAACCTTGTACCTTAAAAAAAATTATCATCCATTTTAAATTTTATAAAAACATAAAATTCAATGTAAGTGTCAATAAATACGATCTTCATTTCTTCCTCGGTTACTTTTGCAATATTAGTTTCTTAACCAAGTCAAGGGTTCAAATCTAAAGGGTGTTGGAAGATTTTGTAATTGATATAAAATCAATTTCTTTCTTATAAACCCATTTATCAAATCATTTATGATTTATAAGAGTAACGTTAAAGAAAACGTGTCAATTAATCTTAGAAACGTGAAAAACGAATTTCTTAAATTTAAAAGGAAAGAAATAATTTTATAAACAGACATAATAAAAATTGAATTTAATCATGTACCAAAAATAAAAATAATTTATTTTCATTAATTAATTTTTCAATTAATGAAAATAAACTATTTTAGAAGGAAAATCTGATTTATTTTTATTAATTCAAATCGGAAGATATTAGATTAGATATTGACAAAGTAAATAGGATTTTTATTTTTTTGGTAAATGATTAAATTCCCGTTTTGGTATGGTTGAAAACAATGAATTCATATTTCCAAAAAAACAGTGAATTCAAAGAATAATGAAATCATTTGTGATTTAGAGTAACATTAATGAAAATAAATCAATCTTAAAAAGAAAAAACCATTGAATAAATTAAATTCAAAAGGAATGAAATAAATCTATAAAAAGACAACAAAAAATGAAGAAAACATAATCTAACAAGAAGGGAACGTATCAACACTATTTAATAATTTTAGTTGCACCAACTCAAATGAATCACGATTAACATAAGCTTTTAGAACATTCCAATAAACACTATTTAGAGTAACATTAATGAAAAATAAATCAATCTTAAAAAGAAAAAAACATTAAATAAATTAAATTAAATTAAAAGGGAAAGAAATAAATCTATAAAAAGACATAATAAAAAATGAATCTTCGAGTAAGAAGTTAAATAGGAACAAAATCTTCACTATTGGATTGTAAATTGGAAATTAAATAGGAATGAAATCTTTATTTATTTTACTAAAATTTGAGATATTTACATACAAAAAGAAATGAGCAGTACTATAAATAATTTGTCATTAACTCTTTTCCATTGACAAATCTAAGCAATGGCCAAGCATAACTCTGCTATCTTTTATGCCTCTTATGTCACTTTCATTCTAGCATGTATATTTTCCCTATCCTATGAAGCTGTTGCTGAAAATCCAAAACCTCATATTGTGTATATGGGTTCACTTCCTAAGAGAGCATATTCTCCAACCTCTCATCATCTTAGCATGCTGCAACAAGTTGTTGGTGTAAACAAATCAACAAATTCCCTACTAATTCATAGTTACAAAAGAAGTTTCAATGGTTTTGCTGCCATGCTTACTGATCAACAAAGGGAAAAACTAATTCAGATGGAAGGTGTAATCTCAGTTTTTCCAAGCAGAACTCTTCAAACTCATACAACAAGATCTTGGGACTTCATGGGATTTCCTCAGTCAGTCCAAAGAAGGCAAACCATTGAGAGTGATACTGTAATTGGATTCATTGACACTGGCATTTGGCCAGAATCAGACAGTTTCAATGATAAAGGTTTTGGCCCCATTCCAAAAAAGTGGAAGGGTACTTGTGCAGGTGGCAAGAAATTCACTTGCAACAAGAAGATCATTGGAGCAAGGTTTTATGTAGAAGATTCAGCAAGAGATAATGAAGGCCATGGAACCCATGCAGCATCAACAGCAGCAGGAAACAATGTTTATAATGCAAGCTTTTATGGACTTGCAGAAGGTACTGCAAGAGGGGGAGTTCCATTAGCAAGAGTTGCTATGTATAAAGTATGTTCTGAAATTGGTTGCAGTGAAGATAGTATCTTGGCTGCTTTTGATGATGCAATAGCAGATGGAGTTGATATCATTTCCATTTCCTTGGGAGGTGATGATCAATTGAACTTCGATGAAGATAGTATTGCAATTGGATCTTTTCATGCTATGGGAAAAGGGATACTTACAGTGAATTCTGCAGGCAATGATGGTCCTGATCCAAGCACAGTTGTAAGTGTAGCACCATGGATACTAACTGTTGCAGCAAGTACAATAGATCGTCAATTCATTGACAAGGTAGTTCTTGGGAATGGGAAAACACTAACTGGGAAATCAATAAACTCTTTCACATCAAATGGTACAAAATTTCCCATTGTAACAGAACACAGTACTGTTCATGTGAAAGGAAAGATAGTTTTATGTGATGTTGGTTCTAGTGATGAAGGTGCATATGAGAACGGTGCAATTGGTGCAATACGAGGGACATGGAGAAGGGGTTATACAGCTCATATTACTCCATTTCCTTCACTGACATTGTATTCAGATGAGTACAATCTTGTGAAATCCTATACAAATTCAACAAAAGATTCAAAAGCTGAAATACTCAAGAGTGAAGTAATTGCAGATCCTATTGCACCTGATGTAGCTGAGTTTTCCTCACGTGGTCCAAATAACATAGTTTCTGAAATTTTGAAACCAGATATTAGTGCCCCTGGAGTAGATATATTGGCTGCATTTTCACCAATTGGTTCACCCTCTACCCTTCCTGGTGATAAAAGGTCTGTCAAATATAACATACTATCTGGAACATCTATGTCATGTCCTCATGTTGCCGGAATAGCTACATATTTGAAATCTTTTCACTTGGATTGGTCACCCGCAGCCATCAAATCTGCAATTATGACTTCAGCACAACCAATGAAGAGTAATTCTAAGGATTATATTGGTGAGTATGCTTATGGATCTGGGCATATCAATCCTGTTCAAGCTATTAATCCTGGACTTATTTATGACATTGGTAAGGAAGATTATATACAAATGCTTTGCAACTTGGGATATGATAATAACAAAATTAAACAGATATCTGGTGAAAATAGTCCTTGCATTGGAGCTCCTAATAGATCATTGGTAAGAAATCTGAATTATCCATCACTTGCGGTGGATGTTCGGGTGAATGTATCTTTCCATGTTACGTTCAATAGGACAGTAACAAATGTTGGGTTGGCTAATTCGATTTACAGGGCAACTATCTTACCAAACCCCACAGTCAACATTACGGTGGCACCAGAGATTCTGTCCTTCAAATCATTGAATGAGAAGCAATCTTTTGTTGTTGCCATTGTTGGTAATGAATTACATAGTCAAAGTGTGCTCACCTCGTCATTGACATGGTCAGATGGCACCCATAATGTACGGAGTCCAATTGTTGTGAATGTGTCCTAGTAGTTGTTACAAATAATTTTAATAAATATATTAGTATTTCCTATTAAATTTTAATGTATTACTATTTAAGAGTTTATTTTTACACACACAAATATATATATATATATATATATATATATATAGGGTTTAGTAAGTGTACAATGACTGGATATAAAATTTGGTCCAGTGCACTATGTTTTTCCGAGAAAACACAGTTATAGTAAATATTATAACTATGTTCTCTCGGGAAAACATAGTGCACTGGACGGTCCAGTAACTGAATATTCATTTTTTTCCATATATATATATATATATAAACATATAACATGTGTCAACCATATCTAAAGTGGTTTAAATGACTTCTACATGCATAAACCGTGACACCTAGCAATTTTTTACTTAGGTCATCTCACATACAAATCATATTACAAAATAATGACAAACATGATAAATATATATTCCCCAACAACAATACACAAAGCGTATGATACAGACCAGCAATTCCAATACAGGAAGAGACAATTAACAGTAATAAAAAAAGAGAAAATAACAATGATAGTTCTAGAGCAATTAAAGAGGCTCTAGTCTCTCCCAAATCACCTACGAGGTGCCCAAAAGTCCCAAGTCCAAAGATACCTTCATCCTTCTACTATTTCCTATTTATACTAATTCTTTCCCTTCATTCCAGTATTGCTTCTCACGTGTGACACTAACAGAATTGCCTTCCACTCATATTTGCTTCTAACTGCCTTGCCGACTCAGCTTCTTCTAGAATATACCTTTAGAGGTGGTATTGTAAGAACCCGCACCGTTAATTAAGGTATTTAATTAATTAATTATGTGAAAATAGGAAATGATTCCATAATTGACCCTAATAATTATTAAGAGGCTTTAATAATTATGATAAATGATTAAGAATGCTGAAAGTCGCTTTTCGGAAGTGCAGATACCGGTTCTGCTAGTCGGTATAAATGCGTACCGAAAAAGTATCCCGGAAAATTAAAGTAAGTACATGATAATTACTAGAATAACATGTAGGACTTGTAAAACGAGTTTCAAGTCCAAATAATGAGAACTGATGCTAGAAACCGGTACTGGATTTGAAAAGCGCGTACCGGAAAGTTGCTCAGAAAATCATAAGAAAAATATGATAAATCTTAGAAAATTATGTAGTTTCAGAATCCAAAGTTTAGGATTAAAATGCTAAGCGTAGCAATTAAAGTTAATACTGTGAGTTTAAGTGGGTTTTGGCTATAAATACACTCATTAAGTGGGCACAAAACCCTAGAACCTCATTCCTACGTGAACACCTTTGGGGGATGATCAGTTTACACTATTCCATTGCTGACTTGGTGTTTCTTTGGCTTGTCTTCACCGTTTCTTCATGAGAAACCACCTAATGATCATCTTTTCTCTTGATTCTTCCTTGTAAACACCTTGTGGTTGTGTTGGGGTTGTGTGAGAGGCTTGGTTTCTGAGTTGGTGGGTTGTTTTGGGGTGCTTTTGGTGCTAACTTTGGAGGTTGGAGTTGTTGAGCCATTGTAATGGCATTTTGAGCTCCAAGGAGCTTCCTTTGTGAAGAAAGGGCCAAGCTTTGTTGGCATTTTCGTTTTGTGTTCAAGTCAGAATCTTTGAACCTTGCTCCAAGAGCCTTCCTTGTGGCTGAGTTTGAACCTCCATTGGTATACCTTGAACTTTCCTTTGAATTTTCATGAAAATGGCTGGTTTATGTTATAAAATGAGTTAACTTTAATCATTCAAGCTTAAGGTTGTTAATCTAAGTCTAAAATGAGGTATTGAACTTCTATTTTGGGTCAAGATCGAACCTTGGGTCATGGGGTGGCAATTTGGCTTCGGATTATGCAGAAAAAATCTGCATAATGCTGTTCTGCCCGCGTGGTAATCGATTACTTTGGATTGGTAATCGGTTACCATGTGTGGTAATCGATTACCATGTGCAGTAATCGATTACCAGCCCTTGGTAATCGATTACCACCTGTGAAAATGACCAGAAACCAGTTTTGTGCAAATGTGACAGCAACGACCTAGTTTAGTAAAATTGAGATATCTCGAGCTACAGAGCTCTAAATTGAGTGAGGTTTGGACCTATGTGAAGCTAACACATAGGGTTACAACTCTGTAAAATTTAGTAGCCATTGGATCAGTGATTTGATCGCAGTGTCTATTTTAAGTCGCGTTTTGGTTGCTGGAAATTCCGTTTGCAGCAGTCACCTTGCGTAAATCATAACCGGAGTTATACAACTCCGATTGAGACATAAAGTATATCGTTGGAAATCTCAAGATGTCTAGTTTAACATTGTAAATATTAGAATGTGAATATTGATATAATTGTTGGTCTAAAACAGATTGTGATTCTGCTGTGTTTGGACTTTGAGCTTGTGTGGACTCTTGGCTTGGATAGCTAGCTTAGAGGTAAGCTTTCGTGTCCTCGGTTTAGCCATGTTGTGGTTCCACCATGTCCCATGGGGATATGGTATATGCATGCTGTGTTACATGCTTTTGATGTTTTGGAAATGCTGTTGAGCTATTATATGTTAGTGCCTTATTGATATGCATGGAGGTGTTCCATCTATACAGTAAGCCTGAGTATGTAGAACATACAAGAGGGTGAGGTGCAAGCGGTGTTCCTTGTACTACATGTAGGGAATAGACGTATTCCTACATTTCTCTGGCCAGTAGATAGTGATTACACACATGCCATAGATATCTGTTGCACTACATAGTTTTGGAACTGATAATGATATAAATGCTTTTTGAACTTATATTGCGCATGTAAGTGAGCTTGGGGTGGAAGATCCTTGAGGACCCCTTGTCTTACTGAGATTTCTAGTTTAGAGATCTCACCCCACGTTTGGGGAATGCTTATTTCAGGGTCAGGTAATGTTGAGACCTCAGGCGACAGGAGGCCGGAGCTGAGTTAGATTGCTGTTATATTATGCTGCCATGATTGGATGCTGGATTTGCATGCTGCTTATGCTTATAGCTTCAGTTATGTTTGTGGAGTTTTATGATGAGACTGGTTGTGTACTATGTTTATTTGGTGAGCATGGGGATTGTCCATGACACCTAGTATTGTTATGTCTTGAGTCTTTGGAGTTGTATTAATGTATCAGGATATTGTCCGGATTACTTGATGTAATGCCGTGATTTAGCTACACACTTTATCTATATATTGAGGTATTTCAGTAGATGTCTTATTGCAATTTCCATACAGGCGATATTTTATGAAATTGATTAAGTAATCAAGCTGGTAATTGATAATGACGTCATAATTGAAAAGAAAAAGAATATTCCGCATTTTTAATTAAGCACCGCTTAATACGATGTAATGTTAATATTCCGGGTATACACGGGGTGTTACATTTTATGGTATCAGAGCAACGGTTCAAGGGAAAAGCCTGTATGTATTGCAATGATTAAGATGTTTGGTTGTGTCTGTTTTGCGTGTTTGCTTCGTCGAGTATTATTATGATAATGCATATGTGACCACATTGCGTGGGCCTGATCAACTCAAAATTTGTGTAACTTGTGCAGAGTCATGGTAAGATCCGGGAGAAACCGCGAGACTTCGGAGGATCGGCCCGACCAGGAGGCCATGAGAATGGCAAACCATGCCATGCTGGGCGCCGTCAGAGAGGCGAACAGGAAGGCTACTGAGGACGTGTTGGAGGCCAATCGTCTGGCGAACATGACGATGTTTAGAGTCATGTTGGAGGAGATGAGGAATGGCCCTGATGTTGGTCATGCTCCACCGCCACCACCTCCACTGCCACCACCACCACCACCACCACCTCCATCCAGTCTGCAGGATGACTCTCAGAGTCAGATGGGAGATGGCAGTCATCTTACGGGGGCCATGCAGACCGTCCCTGTTTTTGTTGAGGATCGTGATGAGATCGATCGCCGGCTGAATGCTTTCCGTAAGCATAAGCCACCTGCCTTTGATGGATCCTTTGATCCTGTTGCTGCTGCACGTTGGCTTCAGGCGTTGGACAAGATTTTTCGGGTCATGCAGTGCACAGAGCCGCAGAAGTTGATGTTCGCTACTTACATGCTGGAGGGCGATGCCCATGAGTGGTGGACAAACCTTTCTCATGTCTACGAGATGCAGGGTCATGTGATGACTTGGCCTATGTTCGAGGATTTCTTCTTGGGTCAGTACTTTCCATATGACGCTCAGGAGAGGCAGCAGGGAGAGTTTGACAGATTGGTTCAGGGCTCGTTGTCTGTGGACGAGTACCTGGCCAAGTTCAACCAGTTGGTGAAGTTTGCACACTTCAGGATGGCGAGGCCTACTCCTACATTTCTGGCTGCTAAGTTCCGCATGGGACTTAGTGAGGATATTGCTGGTTACCTAGCTGGTTCTGCTTCTAGAGATTTTGGGACACTGGTTCAGCAGTGTCGTGATATTGAAGATTACAACAGCTCGAGTAAGGCCAAGAGGGCCAAGGTTGCTAAGGCGACGAAGGTTGCAGCTGGTAGTTCCACTTCTTGGCGAGACAGGAAGTTTGGGAACAAGGGCAAGGGTAAACCGTTGGCAGCTCGACAGGCGCCGAGTCAGTTCAAGAGGACTTCTGCTCAGGGGAGAGCAGCGAGACCTACTGCTCCCAGGTGTTCGGGATGCGGGAAGACTCATTTTGGGCCGTGTTCTACCGGCCAGTTGATTTGCTTTCAGTGTGGCAAGGAGGGCCACTTCTCCAGAGATTGTCCGTCGGCGACGACGAGGGCTACCGCAGTGCAGGCAGTGCCACTTCAGATGGTTCCCCTTCCACCTACTTCGGCACCGGCAGTGCCACCATCTTCTGGGAGAGTGTATACTTTGGATCGTCAGCAGTCGGATCGAGCTCCGAACCTTGTCAGAGATACTGTTACGATTGGTTCATCAGCTGTTGATGTGTTGTTTAACTCTGGGGCTACGCATTCTTTTGTTGCTACCCCGATTGCTGTGGGGCTTGAGTTGCCCAGTGATGTGCTTTCTCCACCGATGCGGGTGACTACCG